AAAAAATAAAAAAATTCTCAAATAAAAAACGGAATCGTAAAATTATTCTTTTTTGAACTACAATTACTTAACGGAGAGCAAATGGTTGGTTCTGGATATTCATGAACCATTTCATAGTCGGTTGGATGAAACTGCAGACTGCATTGAACATAGATTGTGGATGAGGTCCATTGAATTGAAGGAGTTGGCTTTTCCTCCTCATCATCAACATGAGCTTCATCTCCAATCACCTCATAATTAAAGATGATCATTATTTATATAGAAAATCATATTATTATCATTCTTTATATGTTTAAAATATATGACATTCGTGCGGTAATAACTTCCGAACGTTCGGATAAGAGAATTTCTATATATACATATATATATTAATGTACTTATGTGTACATTCATAATACTACACCGAACACAAAAAATTGAATTCAAAATCTATGTGCATATCGATACATTTTCGCTAACACTTGACAAAGTTTGGTTGATATATATATGGACCGAAGCTGCCATGTGCAGCTGCTGCAATCTTCAAGGCCTTGGTTCTGCATTTGTCACAGTGCATTGCCACCTTCACAACTATCTTTTGCTGCGCAAACGCATAAACAAAGATCATTCTTAATATCTCTGCTCTTTCAGAAAAGAAAACAACCATAAGAAAGAAAAATAAACTTACCATCATGTTGGACCAGGACATTGCACTCCCACTTCCAGCTTTCCATATATACTTATATAGCATAAGTTATAAATTTATTTTTTATGTTGGACTTGGGGGGGCTAGCTAGGGAGGGAGTCCAAATTATTTTTTCTAGGACGTGCATACTTATACATTTATATAATGTGTCACATGAAATATCAGAATATATGCATATGCTCGTTTATGGGGCTTGGGACACTAGGGTAGGGTAGGGTTACCCTTAAACCATTTGGTTTTGGCCCTCTTTGGCACAAGGCAAGGAACCAGATACTGACCGATAGCCTGGCCCAAACTCTAAATAAATATAAAAAAATTTGTATGCATATGTTTCTAAGCCCAGCTAGCCCACAGACCACCATAAACTTTTTAGCCCACCCCATTTAAAAATCTTGTCTCACGCTTCCCTTGCAAGCCGGTTGTGGGAAAGTAACGCTAAATAAAATGAATAATTTTATTATGTATATTGAGTCATTGAGTATGGTTCAGTGACAGTAAGCCACCTCAAAGAGGGGAAAGGGTTGTCATCGGGTCAACTTCAATATGTAGTGGGTTGATGAGGACGTTCTACACCGAAGCGTAAGTGATTGCTAGATAGGAGCCCATGAGTAAAACTTGCCGTTACAAACCTTATTTGCAAAAGAAGAAAGCTCAAGAGCTCACTATCTCGACATAAATATGCTATTTTTCCAAGGTCGGATATTGGGGATGCAACACTTTAGCATTTTAGTAAGGATAACATACATGAAAAATAAAATAAATGAACTGCCCAGTTACAGATAAGAGAGTATAGAGGAAGGAGAAGAGTAGGTGCAACTACAAGGGTTAGGTTTTGTGAGCCTCAAGATGACATGAACAGTACAATGAAATCTTACCTCCCACATCTCCATCTCCATGACAGATTTCTTTCCTTAAGAGAAATTTATGTTCATATTGAAGTTTCCCATACCTAATATTTATTAATGACACAATGTTCTTTAAAACCGGCTGCTTGATAGCAACCCTTCAATGATCTGATTGTCCTTACCATTAAACAGTATTTGATCAAGCTGCATGCATGTAATTAATGTTTAAAACTATTGGGTTTGGAATATTGAACTTGAGATCAGAGAGACATGGAGTGATCACCAAACAAAGGATATATATATATATGGCTGGTGCTGGTGCAACATAGGCATCAAATTTCATTGGGGGACTAAGACAACTTCATAGCGAACCAATATAACTTACTGAGGTTGACGGTTGAGAAAACTGCATTTACTAGACAAATCTTGTTTTGTACAAAGCACGCCAAAATGAGAAAGAGGAGATTTGGATTCCCATACATTGGTGGCTCAAAATCATCTACGTGCATATTGCCTCTTCAATATCAATAATTCATGACAATTATATCCCCAAGCACATGAACGACTGTACTTAGCATAACTCAATGAATATGTTGAATGTTAGGGTTTATTATGCCTCCCATCTATATAATTAGGTCATTTCTATACGGAGACGTAAGACAATAAATATGGTACAAATAGTTTAAGACATATACTCCCACACTTCGAAGGGGTGCTAGCGAGAGATCTCCTCCATTTCAACATATATATACTATGTACTACAATATTATTTGCTCTTTTTGGACAATTTCACATTCTAGCACTGAAAATTTGGTGAAACCTAAATCTGCGGCTTATTGCAACATGCATGGTGTAAACAATTTTCTCATAGAGTTCATTAAAGTTGCCCCATTTTCTCTCTGCACTTGAAAGCATGCAAGGACTTGTATATGCGTTTTGCTTTTTCTCATAGACTCATAGTTGTTGCTATGCCTGGAAATAAGTAGGTCAACGTCACGTCCATTTTGAGTTTAAAGATGCAGAGGGACGTGGGGAAATACTTAAAAAAGGTTCGACTTGAAAGGAAAGGAGGTCAACAGAAATTGATTGTCTTTGACACCACTCTAAAGTTATTGTTCTAACAACCATGCATCGTATTTTAAAATAGCTAATTCATGAAGGTCATCTTCTAGTTAATTTTCTCCTCTATAAACTCTATATATTTCTAATCTCCATGACCACCAACTCAACCAAACTCCCTTTCCTCACCATCTCTATAAATACACAACCCAAAAGCTCCATTCAACACACACTCAATTGGAGAAGCTTCAGTTTCTCCCCCATTTGAAATCTCTCTCACTTTCTTCCAGGAAAAAAACAAAACAAAACAAAAGGAGAGAGATACACATAGTGAAAATGGGTGTTCCTCTTCTTTCATCACCAGCATTTCCTACACTCTTTCTCTTCTCTCTCATAGCATTGTGTCTCATTCCTCAGCATGCTCTTGCAAGCATAACGAGGCACTACAAGTTTGAAGTATGTTGTCACAAAGTTTCAACATATATGCATTGCTGAAGTCAAATAAATTTATCTCTTATACATACAGTATTAACATGTTATGTTGTGAAACTATCAATTTGCACGATGATTTTGATTTGGTAGATTCTTTGAATATATAGTCACAGTTTGATACTATAGCAGTCAGTTATCTGACAAGAGAACATTATCGAAACTAATCTTACCACAAATATGAAGTTTGTGCTTTCACATGCATTTTCTTCTTCTTCTTCTTCAGGTTCTTCATTGTCTTTTCTTTACAGTACTTTTGAATAATTTTGCAGATCAAACAGCAAAATGTGACCAGATTGTGCCACACAAAAAGCATTGTAACAGTAAACGGCCAGTTTCCTGGGCCTCGAATTGTTGCTAGGGAGGGTGATCGCCTCCTTATTAAAGTGGTTAACCATGTCCAACACAACGTCTCTATCCATTGGTAATAATGATTAACTACAACTTAATCATGCATAATTAACCTAATGCACTGGAAGTTAATTAACTAATTTTTTTGAATTACCAGGCACGGCGTTCGACAGCTTCGAACAGGGTGGGCTGATGGGCCTGCATATGTGACCCAATGTCCCATACAAACAGGCAACAGCTATGTGTACAACTTCACCATTGTAGGCCAAACAGGCACTCTTTGGTGGCATGCTCACATTTCATGGCTAAGATCAACTCTTTATGGCCCCCTAGTCATCCTTCCCAAGCTTGGTGTGCCTTACCCATTCACTAAACCCTACACGGAGGTTCCGATCATCTTCGGTAACATCTGACTATATAACAGTCCAAACCAAACTAAGCATGTATTTTTCTGCCTAATTTATATGCTAACAAAAGCTACACAATTTATACATAAATTACAGGAGAGTGGTGGAATGCAGACCCTGAGGCAGTCATTAACCAGGCCTTGCAAACAGGTGGAGGGCCAAATGTTTCCGATGCTTATACCTTTAATGGACTTCCAGGGCCCTTGTACAACTGTTCTGCCAAAGGTATCAAATTATATGCATGCATCACAACATTTTACACAATTTATAGCTTGAATGACAGGGGCCTTGTAAAACAAACCGTCAGAACACATAAAGTAACTTTTCATTACCTTGCATGCAAAATTCTTAATAAAACGTACTCGGAAATTTCATCAGTACTCTCACAATGCTTACAATGGATTTCAAAGATATTTGATATATGCTGCATGGGTCTCTGGCAGATGCATTCAAGCTAAAGGTGAAATCTGGGAAGACCTACCTTCTCCGCCTAATCAATGCAGCACTCAATGATGAGCTCTTCTTCAGCATTGCAAACCACACCCTCAAAGTGGTAGAAGCCGATGCCGTTTATGTCAAACCCTTTGAGACTGACACAATTCTCATTACCCCTGGGCAGACTACAAATGTTCTGCTGAAGACCAAGCCCCATTTCCCAAATGCCACATTTTTCATGACTGCCAGGCCATACGTGACTGGACTAGGCACCTTTGACAACTCCACTGTTGCTGGTATTTTAGAATACGAATCACCCTCCAAAACCCTCCACTCAACCCTCCCAATGAAGAAACTTCCACTATTTAAACCAATTCTGCCTGCTCTAAACGACACATCCTTTGCAACAAAGTTCAGCAACAAACTCCGTAGTTTAGCCAATGCACAATTCCCAGCTAATGTCCCCCAAAAGGTTGACAAGCACTTTTTCTTCACAGTAGGCCTTGGAACCAACCCCTGCAACAAGCATAACCAAACCTGCCAGGGACCTAATGGAACAATGTTTGCTGCTTCAGTGAATAACGTTTCTTTTGTAATGCCAACCACTGCTCTACTCCAAGCCCACTTCTCCGGGCAATCAAATCGGGTTTACAGCTCTAACTTCCCAATCAGTCCAGTGATCCCTTTTAACTATACAGGAACCCCACCAAACAATACTATGGTGAGTAATGGTACAAAGCTAGTGGTACTTCCATTTAACACTAGCGTGGAGTTGATCATGCAGGACACAAGCATTCTTGGTGCCGAAAGCCACCCTCTTCATCTGCATGGATATAATTTCTTTGTTATTGGCCAAGGGTTTGGGAACTTTGACCAAAATAAGGACCCTGCAAACTTCAATTTGGTCGACCCTGTTGAAAGAAATACCGTGGGTGTGCCCTCTGGTGGATGGGTCGCTATACGATTTCTAGCAGATAATCCCGGTAAGTACAAAGAGCAGTAATATTAGTATTATATAGTATTAACAATCTGACTATATCATTCGTATGCATTAAAGTTATATATATCATTGTTGATTTAAACACAAAAGCAATATAGTCAAGAAGTATTAGTCTCACTTTCATATAATAATATTAATAACAACGAATTAAATATGCTACTTGTAGTCATCAATGAATTTAATATTTATGTAGTAAAGTGATTGGAATTAGTAACTTGAAATTTAGATAAGAGAAGAAAGAGAATTAAGAATGACACTTAACATTAAATTTTAATCAAAGACCTTAGCCTAATTAACTATTTACTTAAAAAAATATTTACAGGTGTATGGTTCATGCATTGCCACTTGGAAATCCATACTAGTTGGGGCTTGAAGATGGCTTGGGTAGTCTTAGATGGAAAGCTTCCCAACCAGAAGTTGCTTCCTCCACCGGCTGATCTTCCAACATGTTAATGTTGGAATCAACTCAAGCTACATTTTTTGGAAGAGAAACTGCTGTCATTATTTTGTGAACCATTTTTTATCGCTGACAACTTAAATTTGTCTTATGTATTGGCCAATTAATTAAGTTGAAATAATTCTTGTACTGATTCATATGGATTTTTTTTGTTTATTCAAATTTACCCATATGGAGTTGAGTGAAGAAAAAGGGTGAGACCACATTCTGTAAAAATTTCAAGTATCCTAATGTAAGAGGCTCAAAATGAAAGTATGGATTCTGTACAATTTTTCTCCAGGCATATCTGATAGATACTTATCTTTGATTTCTGGGTTATTCTATTTCAACCAATACAAGAAGTTACAATTTTAAAAAACTCTGCAACAAACAGTTTATACTTTCATAATAACAATGCCTATTTAAAGAAGAAGAAGAAATATTAATTCATCTCATTGATGCATCTTTAGATGCACTAACATAGGTGTCTATCTACAACCGTATCCAAAACCAAACAAAGAAATTAACAAAAAGAGCACCAAACTACCAGAAATAATTGTGCTCCCAAATTGATCCTTCCTAATATATTTACAGCAGAACCCATCTGGATTGAAGCTCAATTCACTAGTATAGATAGTGCACAAGGTTTCTTTAATTATTGAGAATTCATGCAAATGAAGAAATGGGTCAAGTGTACCTTAAGCAGCATTGCATACTATCAGTATCAAATCTTCATCTTTGACACCAAGGGCACTCAGCTCCTCAGAATTCCTCATATCCCTCCCTTCCATCTCACATGGCGGTTGCTGTTTCTGAAGCAGCAACAGAATCTGCATTTGCCTATTTACGTTGTTAAAACAAAAAATCAAATAATTCAGAATACATTAATCTATTAATTAATTAGTTAACTGAAATATCAAGTAGTTTTCAACACTAAAAAAATTATGTTGAATGTCAAAATCATGTATTTAAATTTCGGTTCTTCACTCGTTCCTCTAATTCCCCAAGTAAAGAAAGACCTAAACTTTACTTCAATTGAAAAATAACAAACAGATTAATTAAACAGAACAAAGCAGCAACATGAATCGTATGCATACCTTTACAGAGAGAGATATACGCACGCATTGCAAGTGAGTGAGGTTTGTAATGTAAAGCTGAAATTAGGGTTTTACAGTTTCGTCAGGATCGTCATGACGGTGATCTTCATCTTAAATCTGTTCCTTGGATTGTATCACTTTCTACTTCGTTTGCTCTCGCTTAAAAATTTGCTATTATTTTTTATTTTTTTCTCGGGTTAGATTGGGCCTGAAGCCCAAAATACATCGTAGCCCATAAGATATGGTAGCCCAAATCATGCAACCATGAAAGATTGCAATATTTTTTGGGGTTTTGTTGATGTATTTGTCTGCTAATATTTGTTTAGTGAATTTCCTTAATAAATAATCCTCCACGTAAGATTGAGCAAAAAAACCGAATAAATCATTCAAGACCAAATCAAAATTAATTCAAGCGGTTTGGTTCGTTTTGGTTTCAATGAACCAAATTAACCAGTTAGTGCAGTGATACTTCTATTTTCAATATTAAAACAGTATTAAATTCGAATAAACTTCTCCCCTTATAATTTTTTTGTTTTTTTATAAAAATAATCTCTTACAAATAAATGTCTTTGTTGGGATTGTAAGTGAAGGGTTGTTAAGTGTTAGGAGAGTAGTTTATATGGAACTTCAAAGACAAAGAGAGATGGCCAAATATAGCTGGTGCAACAAGAAGAAGCTCGACCTTTAATTGCATCCTTATGATTGAATGAGCACTCAAGTGTAATCAATCTCATCTCCCAACATACTAATCAACTTTTTCATTATGAAGGTTACGATTAAGAAAGGTGCATGTGTGCTGGGAAAATCATATTTTTTTAGAGAACCTTCACTTCTACCTCTTTCTACAAGAGATTAATTAACTACTTTTTTTCTTTAATTTCTTAACTTTAAGTGATGGGAGGAGAATTTAATTCTTGTTTTGGAGAAAAACTTATATATATATATCGGGAATGCCACTATGACGATATTCTAAGTTAATCACGTATATATTGTCGTTTATTTTAATTTTTTCACATGACAGTATGTGATTGACTTGAAATACCGCCACAATTATATCCCTATTTCACGTAAGTTCTTATCACTACAGCTAGAAACCCCCGTACAAATTTGCTGATACTTCAAGGCACATGCATGGTGCCAATACTTTTCACATCATTTATTATTAGTTCCTTCACTTTTTTATGCACTTGAAAGCATGCAAAGAGTTGTATATGCGTTTTGCCTTTTCCCATGGACTCATAGTTGTTGCTGAGCCTAGAAATAAGTAGGTCAAAATCACGTCGCTTTTGAGTTCAAAAGATACAGAGGGACGTGAAAAATGCTTAGGTTCGACTTGAAAGGAAAGGAGGTCAACAGAAATTGATTGTCTTTGACACCACTCTAAAGTTGTTCTAACAACCATATGCATCGCATTTTTAAATAGCTAATTCATGAAGCTCTCATCTTCCAGTACAATTTTCTCCTATGAACTATTTCAAATTTCTATGACCACCTACTCGACCAAAACACACCTCTATATATAAACACCCCCACATTCTCTCTTCAACACACACTCATTTGGATTGGAGCAGCTTCAGTTTCACCCACATTACACTTTCTTGCACAAAAACATAAGGAGAGAGAGGGAGAGACATAATGGGTGTTCCTCTTATTTCATCTCCGCCATTTCTTACCCTCTTTCTCTTCTCTTTCATGATGTTGTGTCTCAGTCCTCAGCATGCTCTTGCAAGCATAACAAGGCACTACAAGTTTGATGTATGTGTATATATGTGTGTTACAAAGTCTCATCATGCATACATAGCACCCACGCACGAGAGGAAATGTTCTTTTGTCAGACAGTTTGACATGTTATATATATAATTCAGTTCAAAAATATGCACGTAACTCTATCGTTACATATGTCTGCGAAATATTCTTGTCATATATGATACGTAGTTTTTATTTTCTTATTATTGGGTTCTTTTTTACTGCCTTGTTTAACCTGTTTTGATTGGTTTCACAGATCAAACTGCAAAACGTGACAAGGTTGTGCCAGACAAAGAGCATTGTAACAGTAAACGGACAGTTTCCTGGGCCTCGAATTGTTGCTAGGGAGGGTGACCAACTCCTTATTAAAGTGATTAACCATGTCCAAAACAACATATCTATTCATTGGTAATTGTGATTAACCACAACTTCATAAGCAATCTAGAGTTCATTCTTTGGCTAAAATTTGATTGCCAAGCATAATTAGCCTAATGAACTGGAAGTTAGTTAATTAATTATTATTTTTTGTTAATTACCAGGCATGGCATTCGACAGCTTCGAACAGGGTGGGCTGATGGGCCTGCATATGTGACCCAATGTCCCATACAAACAGGCCACAGCTATGTGTACAACTTCACCATTGTAGGCCAAAGAGGCACTCTTTGGTGGCATGCTCACATTTCATGGCTAAGATCAACTGTTTATGGTCCCCTAATCATCCTTCCCAAGCTTGGAGTGCCTTACCCATTCACTAAACCCTATAAGGCGGTGCCGATAATCTTCGGTAATTAGCCTTTACTACTCCTAATTAATTCATTCATTCATTCATGTAACCAAGCATGTATGTTTTCTGGCCTATTGTGTTGTCATATGCTAATATGGCTACAACATGTATGTTTAAAACACAGGAGAGTGGTGGAATGCAGATCCTGAGGCAGTTATTAGCCAGGCCTTGCAAACAGGTGGAGGCCCAAATGTCTCTGATGCTTATACCCTTAATGGTCTCCCAGGGCCCTTGTACAACTGCTCTGCCAAAGGTATCAAATTAATCAAAATAAAATTGCATTCTAACACCTTATATTTTTATACTATCAATCAAGCTGAACTTTAAAAAGTGACCTTCGTATTTGAATAGGAAGTTTAAATTGACCGTTTGACAACATAACATCTCAAATACATTGCATTCTAACACCTTATATTTTTATACTATCAAGCTGAACTTTAAAAAGTGACCTTCGTATTTGAATAGGAAGTTTAAATTGACCGTTTGACAACATAACATCTCAAATATCTAGTCATGACCGTTTTAACAACTAGCATGCACAATTCTGGAAAATCTCCTTGTTTCAGCTCAACATCTTGTTATTCGAGTTATATGATGAAAAGTTTGCTTGTATGGCTCCTTTTTGCAGATGCATTCAAGCTAAAGGTTGAAGCTGGGAAGACATACCTTCTGCGCCTGATCAACGCAGCACTCAATGATGAGCTCTTCTTCAGCATTGCAAATCACACCCTCCAAGTGGTAGAAGCTGATGCCGTCTATGTCAAACCCTTTGAGACCCACACAATTCTCATTGCCCCTGGACAAACCACAAATGTTCTTCTCAAAACCAAACCCAGCTTCCCAAATGCCACATTTTTCTTGACTGCCAGGCCATATGTGACTGGCCTAGGTACATTTGACAACTCAACAGTTGCTGGCATTTTAGAGTATGAATTCCCACCCAACACCAAAACCCTAAAAATGAAGAAACTTCCACTCTTCAAACCCGATCTCCCGGCCTTAAACGACACATCATTCGCAACAAAATTCAATGACAAACTCCGCAGCTTGAACAATGCACCATTCCCAGCTAATGTACCACAGAAAGTTGACAAACATTTTTTCTTCACTGTAGGCCTTGGAACCAACCCTTGTAGCCAACATAACCAAACATGCCAAGGACCCAATGGGACAATGTTTGCAGCTTCAATTAACAACATTTCTTTTGCCATGCCAAACACTGCCTTACTCCAATCCCACTTTTCTGGCCAATCAAATGGGGTTTATACTCCTGACTTCCCAACCAATCCTATAATCCCTTTTAACTACACAGGGGCCCCACCAAATGATACTATGGTGAGCAATGGGACAAAGCTGGTGGTGCTTCCATTTAACACCAGTGTGGAGTTGGTGATGCAGGACACTAGCATTCTTGGTGCTGAGAGCCATCCTCTGCATCTTCATGGGTTTAATTTCTTTGTTGTGGGTCAAGGATTTGGGAACTTTGACAGAAATAAGGACCCTGCAAAGTTCAATCTGGTTGACCCTGTTGAGAGGAACACTGTGGGTGTGCCCTCTGGTGGATGGGTTGCCATTCGGTTTTTAGCAGATAACCCAGGTAATATATTGAAGCTAAGATATAACAGTAATGATATACGTATCACATTATTGATCACATCTTTCTCTCTCATAAAACTAAGTTTTACGTAAATCTCACTACACAAAGATGTGATTAGTAGTGTGATCCATGTAAATGCGGTAAAAGGAATTTACTGATGAAAATATAAACCATATTCTCTGATCATTTGATGTGTAATTGGTAATCAAACTTTATTATTTTGGGTTGATTTTGATGACTGATATTGAAGGTTGATGTGTCAATATACAGGTGTGTGGTTTATGCATTGCCACCTGGAGATCCACACAAGCTGGGGGTTGAAGATGGCTTGGGTAGTCTTAGATGGAAAGCTTCCCAATCAAAAGTTGCTTCCTCCACCTGCTGATCTTCCCAAATGTTGATCTTATTCACTTCTATTACCTCTAACCATAACTCGTCCAAAGAATTTTGTGACCCTTTTGTTTATTCTTTGGTACCTTTTGGATTTACTTGGCCAAAATTGTCTTGGTTATGCAGAGTTGAGGGAGAATAAAAGAGTGAGACAATAACATATCTCCAACACTCAAATATCATAATGTAAGAGGCCCCAATATTCAAATAATATGTCACTAGCGGATTCTTGCTGTTCTTTTTCAGTTCTTGGATTTTTAGAAATATTCCCTCTTTTTTTCATGGGCTGCTCTGCTTTATTTTAATCTCCACCCAAGTGCACTCTGGTACAAAAAACAATGAAGTTATGGCGGATTGTCCGGCTAGGTTTGTTTTTGTGTCGCACGAGTTCAAATTCTAGTCCAACAAAGAAACCAGCCAACCCAACATAAGCATATATATCTATACAACCAGCCGTCCAGAAAAAGATCGTCTGAAAGTTACACCATTGCCGCCTGAGGATTCTTAAGTTTCTGGGTGTCTGAAAGTTACTCCATTCTCATAAAATTTTTAAATGAATAAAAAGTATCAAGGTTTCTTTTACGTGTAGACAATGGCAATGTTGTGGTAGAAGAATGATCAATTATCAAATATATGACATGTTATGCTACTAGACTGAATCGTAACCACGTATTCAAATTCCACCTAATCAACAGTTTCAATTCACAGTTTTACATCAGAATATGTAGGGATTGTCACAAGATAAGTAATTATGTCAACGTATACGACCAGGAAAAACTGGCATAAATAAAATGAAAAACAAAGTACAACTTATTGTTTATCAAGATAGATTAATAAGGGTTTCCAATTTATGGAGCCCTCCAATTGATTGATCTGTAGTAGACATGCATTCAAGTCCAAATAGCTGCAATAAGGGTTTCAAGTTAATGGAGCCCTCAGATTGATCGATTGATCGGTCGTAGACATGCATTCAAGTCAAATAGATGATACTTCTATACAATATGCTGAATACTAGATTCCATATCGAATATATACTTCAGATAAATCATGAGCATCCAAGGAATAAGGTATGTTTCTAATAAGACATTCCACATAGGCGCCTAATTAATCAATTCAAGGTTTTGTATCCAAATGATACATGTTGGATTCCTAGCAAACAAAAATGACATCTAATATGCATCTAGTGGTTGGTTGGTTACATCTGCCACTGCCAGCAAAACATATTCCCTTGTCTACATACTTGACGGGGAATCAAAAGAGTTTGGTTTGTAAAGAAGTAATATTATGCTTTCCAATAACAATGAGACACCTGCCCCAAAACAAATATATTGTAGATAAATAAATATTCAATCTATAACTTACTTGTATAAGTACCTCGCACAAGGTTCCAGCCTCTCAGAAGTACAGAACTTCAATATTCCCACTTTCAGTAGCCATGACCACGTTTAAGCTGCTCATGTTTCTTTTTCTTCAAATGTTCTTCACAACAATGTCATCAATCCAAGCAGCAAATTCAAAGCTCTTCAGAGAATACATCGGAGCTGAGAACAACGGTGTCACTTTCGAAGAAGTGCCCGTTGATTCCAAAGTTGAATTTCACTTCATCCTCTCCTTTGCTATTGACTATACACAATCCAATCATCCTACGCCCACTAATGGCAACTTTAATGTCTTCTGGGACACAGAGAATCTTACCCCTGCTCATGTATCCGCCATTAAGGCTCGTCATCGAAATGCTAAAGTAGCTCTGAGTCTTGGAGGTGATACCGTAAGCAAAAAATATGTGTACTTCAGTCCTACATCAATCAATTCTTGGGTTAGAAATGCTATCGACTCAATAGTTCAGATAACGAAAAAATATCATTTGGATGGAATTGATATTGACTATGAACACTTCCAGACAGATCCCAATACATTTGCTGAATGCATTGGGCGACTACTGTTCTACCTTAAACAAAACAATATTGTGTCGTTCACATCAATAGCACCATATGAGAATGACGCGGTGCAACCATATTACTTGGCATTGTGGAGGAAGTATGGGCATCTCATTGACTATGTTAATTTTCAGTTCTATGCCTATGATAAGGGCACGACTATAAATCAGTTTTTAAAACATTTTGAGATCCAGAGCTCAAATTACAAAGGTGGAAAGATTCTAGTGAGCTTTGGAACAGATGGAAGTGGGGGGTTGTCCCCTGAACATGGGTTCTTTGAGGCTTGTGCTAGGCTTCAACGTCAGGGCAAACTTCATGGCATTTTTATTTGGTCTGCCGATGACTCCAAGAAGGCTCATTTTCGTTATGAGAAGCAATCACAGACCTTTCTGGCTAGCATAAAATGAACTGTTTTTTTTTTCTTCTGCCTTATTTGTATTTGCTGTTATGTTATTCTTAATTGGAAAGAAGGAAGCAAATAGGATTGTTGTTGATTTGTCTTTAACACAAGTAAACATTCTAAAGAAACAAGTGTTATGGAAAAAACATTTGGAATCTAGCGCCATTAATAAATAAGATAGCACTTCTCTGAATGTAATTGCACAATGCAGCGGTGGTGCCTAGGTGTGGTACATAACAAGGGGGTGAGACAAGGTTGCATAAGTGCACCTCCTTTGGCCTTTCAGGGCCTGGTCAATTTCGAAACAGATCAGGGATTTCTACCATCAGCTCATCCTGGTAACATATTAGTGCTGGTAAAAATATCAGACCTTCTCTACTGCTAAACATTTTGGCTAAAGCAAAGTAGGAAGGGACTTCATACCTGGAAAGCAAGAACTTGAATAAAAAGCAAATTAAAGGATTCACATAACAGCTATGTGTAGTTTCCATAAATTGATTAAACCATACTCTATCTGAAACAGAAGAAATTCAGATATACATGGTGTAAAAAGTAAACATAATATATCTAATGAATTGGTATTGAGGAGTGAGGACTCTCTAGTTTTTGCAGTACAGTGTTGAGCTGGTATTATGTATGTATGTACCCTTGTTTTTGTTTTCAATTACATGAACAAACATCGATAGAATAAAGTAAACGGAAAGAACTAAAAACTAACCGAATGATGATTACATATTAAATTTTCAATAGAAAAACAAACAAAAAAGTACTTCATGCATCCCACAAAGTTGGTGGAGACAGTTTTGTTAGATTAGAGGAAACACGAATATGAAAGAGCTGATAAGGAGACCTCATACCTGATAGTGCTGTCAAACACATGTAACTGGGTGCCATTTTATCTGATGGTCCACCTGGTTGTATATGCCTTTTGGAAACCACGGTGCAATTGAACATGTGGATCTCTATAGTTTCACTCTATTGTAATCCCACTGATCCGGGTAGTAAAGGAACTGGAAAATACTATCTTCTGGCACATTATTGAATAAGCTGACGGAGCACTTTGTGGAAAAACAAAGACTCCTCCCATTCAACCTTGGATCATTATATCCAAGAGCAAAGGAATATCAAATATGCGTCAGAGAACAAAAATGCAGAAATTAGAAAGAAAAAAAAAACACATATCTATAGAGAGCTTAAAGTTGTGGCATCCAATTACCAAAAGCAGCACCCTTATAAGTGTGAGTAAAGCACAGTTTTTTCCATTTTCTATGTTCTTTTTCTTTCATAGGGCATTCTCCATTAGCCCATCTACGACATTGCTATTGATACAATGGGTGTTCTTCAAAATGCACAAAACACAAACTGAAATAACAATTGTATTAAGAATCAAAACTAGGATGACATTAATCAGAGGCCAAATTTGCATTGCAATCAGTAGTATCACCAAAAACAAAGAAAGCATCCCCTTAGTATTACAAAGAAAAAAGTACCCATTGCAAAATTACCTGGAAGAAAAAGAAAAAGTGTTCATTACAATTACTGAAAGTAGCACACTTAATTTTTTGGAAATGTGGATCAACTACAGTTTCCTCCATTAATTAAAAAAAATCCTCCTATGGTGCTTTATATGTCCATTTTACTTACATAGGCCATCTACAACATTGCAATAATCTGTGTTCTTCAAGATGCATGAAACACAAAATTGAAATAATACTTGTATTAACAAATCAACAGTGAGATGACATTAATCACCGGCAAAATTTTCATTGCAATCCATAATATAACCAGAAACAAACAACAGATCCTCTTAATAATTGGTATTACATTGAAACCTCAAAACCTGAACCTCCCTGAACCTGCTGAGCAGGGTCCTCCATGGAATTGAAATCATGACGAAATTTCAGAAAACTGAAACCCAACAAAAATGACAACCGTTTAAACTTGGTTATCTTCTCAACTTTTCCTCCTCTTCTTTTTCTTCTCCAGATTTTCCTCCAAAGCATCTAACACCCCACTCTTCCTCTTCTTCCCCTCTTCCTTCTTTACCTCTTTGTTTCTGATTTTAGCCTCACCATCTCCCTTCTCAATTTGCACTGCATTCTCATCAGAATTACAAACATTATCCTTCTTATTTTTCTTCTTCTTCTTTTCATGCATCACTACTGAATCAGCTGCCTCTCTCTTTTCAAGACCCACACCTCCTACCTCTGCATTTTTACCCCCACCATCTCCCTTCTCAATTTGACCCCCATTTTCCACGGAATTACCAACAGTGTCCCCCTTCTTTTTGTTCTTTTTCTTATTATGCATCTCTGCTGAATCAGCTGCCTCTCTTCTTTCAACACCCTCCCCTGCCCCCTCTGCAACTTTACCCCCACCATCTCCCTTCTCAAAATGACCCCCATTTTCATCAGAATTACTAACATTGTCCCTCTTCTTTTTCTTCTTCTTGTCATGCACCTCTACTGGATCAGAAGCCTCTCTCTTTTCAACACCCTCACCTCCCCTCTCTGCAATTGCACCTCCATCATTCCTGAAATTAAGAAACTCACCCTTCTTCTCCTTCTTCTCCTCCTCCTCCCTCCTCTCAACAGCATCCACTACCGGACGATTGGGTTCTTCATTCTCAAGCCTCCCATTGCTATTACTCTCCTGTCGCTGCCTTTTGGGCTTGGGCTTTGATTCTAACTCGAGCCCATGACTCACTTCCTGACTCACCACAACACTCCGGGTCGGATTCTCTCCGACGGTCTCTGCGTCGTCATTTTCAGCCTCCGACCTATGCCGCGATCGCCTGCGTTGGGTCCTCGGCGCTTTGAGCTCCTTGTGGAGCTGCTTCAGCTCCTTGAACGATGCCAAGGCGCGTTGGAGGTACACGCTGAACTCTTGCGACGCGCCGGTGTCGCTGGAGACGAAGGAGGACAAAGTCGAGGTCGCTTTGGAGAGAGAGATTGGCTTTGTGGAGAGGACGGTCCCTGAGACCGCCATGGTTGATTGAGCGTTTCTAGGGTTTTAGGGAGAACGGAGGGTTTTTATCTTAGGGTTTTCAATTTAGGGCGGATATTTAAATAATAAAAATAAATAAATAAAATAAAACGTCACAACATGGAGAGTTCGGAGAGTGCAACTGAGTAGGTGTTCTCCAACTAACTCTCTGACCGTTGGATGTTACTACTTCTTTCTGGCTTGATTTTCTTTTTGTGAAATTCAGTTTGGTCAAAAGTCACCATTTGTGCTTTTCTTTTTTGTCGAAGTTGCAATTTGTGCTTTTTGTAGTTTCAATTTGATCAATTTTGTTCATGTATTTGAATAGTTTGAATAGTTTGAATTCCAAACAACTCAAGAAAAAACTCCAATTTTCTTCAAATCACTATAAGTTCTATACACATGGAGGAGTATTTTGGTCTAATCTTACAACCCCTCCCCAATCACCCCCACAACCACATTCTCCCCCAACCCACTCCCTACCCTATACCAAGACCCAATCACCCCCACAACCACTTTCTCCCCTCCCTCCTATCCTACCACTCCCGACCCAACATTATGCTCTCATTCCTTCACATCCATTTTTTCCCTCTCTCTCTATTATCAAACTTCAACCCTAATTTCATGCATTGCCCAAAACTTCTCCTTATGAACTCAAATTTCCAAAGACAATACTAAAAAGTTACACAATTGTTTATATTCAAGATTGAAGGTAAAGGACATCGAGACTTGAAAACATAAGAAAAGCTACAAGAGGGGCTGGGGTGGCTTTGGGAGTGGTTGAGGAGGGGTTGCAATATTGGACTGAATGTAAACATAAATTAGAGTAATTTGACAGATATTGGAGATTGTCATTGAATTGTTTGAAATTCAAAAACTGTAAGGACACAATTGATTAAATTGAAACTACAAGGACTTAAGTGGTAAACTACATGAACCAAAAATGACCTTTTGTCATTCATTTTTTATCACTCTATTATAAATCAATTTCAAGAGGAGAGAGGAAGAATAGGTGGTGTTTGTCATGTTTGAGGAAGCCATGAATTTGGGAAACTTAGATAGAGGAATCAAATAATAGGAATTAGGAACCCACATAAGTTTTTTTTATAGGACATTCCGTATTGAGAGAGGCGATAATATGCTGAACTCATACACACAACATGGGTGCTAAGACTCGAATCCAGAACCTTGTTTGGGGGAGCAATTACTCCAAACCACTGTATTAGTGGGTCCTTTGCTTATCAAGTATTTTGTTTTTTTTAGTACAAGCTATTGGGGGAGGAGGGGTTTACATAAGTATTCATTAGGTGTTCGAGGGTTTCAAACCTCTGCCTGCATGAATGGAGGTGGAAGAGCTCAATCTACTAAATAATTTTTAAATTCATTATGTGTTATTAAATACATGATGAATTGGAATATATATGTCACGTCCTGGAACCGGGGGTCGGTAGAAACCCTGCGCCCATTGCGTGATAAATAAAAAGTAAAATAAAATAAAAAGAAAGTCGAAACAAGGTTTAAAATAAAACTTCTCTTATAAAAATAGCTCCAAAATCTTACAACTTTACAATTAATAAATAAAGCTCTATCACTCCCATCTAATTTAGCCTCAACTGGTTTAGTCCTTATCTTGCCCACTAATTCATCTAAAAAATTAAATAGGGTGAAGGGTGAGCAACCATCGCTCAATGGGGACATGAGAGCTTACCACAGTAGATTGACATAACCAAATTAAGTGACATACAATCACACAACCAAATATCACATTATTAATCATAATGCATGAATGCTCTTCATCTAATTATGTTAATTCATATAACTTGACAAGCAGACCTGCACGTCTCATACCATGCTTATACCACTTGGTCCCGAATGCCCATTTATATGAACTAACACTCATCTCAATCATCCCATAATTCCCCTTTTGTTAGTCATCTTGTCTAACTCCCTGTCGCCAGTCCCGAATCATCCAATAAAAATCATGTGCACTATGAGATCTCTGAGACCTGGTATCTGCCAAGAGTTAGACTCAACTACACAAAAGACTATTTTCATTACCCTCTTTTCCATCATTATTTTCTCCAACCAACATCTCCAACTAATTTCCATGACATGATATAGTTCTTCTTTTCACATATCTCATAAAAACAATATAATCATTTAAATATCACCAATGTACATATAATCATGCCAACATTAATTAAATAATTAACAACACGTAAACACTCAATATCAAGAACATTATAATATCAAGAACATCCATTAAGTTATAATATCATGCATAATATAGTGCTCACAAAAGTTAATTAAATCAATTCCCGTAAAGTCTCCCAAGAAGCCCCTACCTTGACGCCAAAGCTTTTGTTAGAAATGTAAGGTGTTTTTCCTAATTTTCCTCTGCATTCACATTCACACTCCTCTCTCTAGTATTTTACCTCCTTTCTTTCTTGTTTCTTTTTCTTATTGACAACATTGGGGAGAGGCTTTATTTATACATTTACAAAACTTGGGCATGAAGTAAAAATAGATATATAGATAAGATTGATGACTAAGGATAAATATGAATATATGAAGATAAAGTCAAGATATTTATTAACTAACTAATTTCTTACAGGAGCTGTCAAAACACACAAGTTTTGAGCTTTAAAATAATAACACATATATTGGTGACAAGGATAAAATATGCATGTGCCAGACCACACGTTCACTCCACCTTAAGATGATTTAAACTCACACATATATATAAAAATCACCGTGTCAATCCTTTTGTCCAAGTTAACTTGCTCAAAAAGATAAAAAGAGATTTTTTAGCTATTTAATACATAAGATGTGAATAACACAATTCTAATAATTGAATACTAGCCTCTCTGCATGCGCTTCCGCACCTGCGAGAGGTTTTTTTTAAAAATAAAAAAAAAAAATTAGAATTAAAAAAGATAATGAGTAGTTGTGTTTCATAAAAAGAGGATCCATTTGATTTTTCTTTTAATTTTAAAATTTTTTTAATATGAAAAAATGTGAATTTACCATATTATCCTTATTTAATTAATAATTTCAATTCTTAATGTTTGCATTAACCAAGGGCATTTTCTGGTATTTTGAATGTTTCACCATTCTCTGCCTTTTGCTTTATATATATAGATTATTACAAATATATACAATTATAGAAGTTAAATACCCAAGAAATATCTAAGGGTACCCATTTAGAGAAAAACAAATAATAAATATATAATTTATAGTTATTCAAATGAACATATATATAGTATACTAAGTATGAATAATTATTAAAATAGTATTGTAAATGTAAAACAGTACATATATATAAACATTTAATCTTTTTATTTATTTATAAATTTTATTTTATTTTATAAACTTTTAAGAATACGGATTCTCACAATATCCGTTTGATGTGACTCTTACATGCGATTGTTTGATGGGCACTATGAGTAGGGGTGGATGCAGTCTGGTTCGATTCGGTTTTTACCTCGCATTGGAATTAAAATTGGGATTATTTAATCGGTGCGGTTCGGTTCAATTTTGGTGAATTTTTTTTATGAAACCGATCAATTCGGTTTAAATTGGTTCCGATGCAGTTTTCTATTTTTTCGATTTCAGACCAAATATTTTATTTATTTATTTTTCAAATTACAACTAAAATTTAATTTGTTGAGCTTAAAAATTCACAAAGGATCCAATTTCATGCAAAGAAAGAATAAAACTGATATTGAAATCGATTTGAACCAATTCGGTATGGTTTAGTGCCGATTTATTGACTTTTTAGTCAATACAGTTTTTTTTTGTTTTTTCTCTTCGGTGCGGCTCGATGTTCTGACTTTCACAATTTTTTAAGACACCCTATGATCAGTGCAATTTGGCAAGAAAAAAAAAAGGAAAAAAGAAAAAAGGAAAAAGGAAAAAGGAAAAAAGGAAACAAAACTATATATTGTTCACTTACCAAATACCAAACATCAAATTTAAATTTGATGACTGATGTGGCAATTTGACATCTTACACAGTTTTACACTTCACCCGATATGTCAAATTAAATTATTATTTTATTATATTTTAGTGTTGATTTATTTTTAATGAAAAAGAAAAGAGAAGAAAAAATAATAAAATATTCATTTGACATCTTGCTTTTGGGATGTCAAAAATAACATCTCAACCTCCAGCCTTCATTCCACATCAGCTTTGACACATCGGTTGGAGTGATGTGAGATGTTATTTCTAACTGTTAAATGTCTATGTGGCACTTTTGACACATCGGTTAGAGATGCTCATGTCGACTGTGCAGCCCTTTCCCCAACCAGCCTAAGAGCATCTCCAAGGGAGATGTCAAATACTAAACATCAAATTTAAATGTGATGGCTGATGTGGCAATTTGATATTTACACAGTTTTACACTCCACCCGATATGTCAAATAAATAATTATTGTAACAGTCAAATCATTAAAGATAAAGAAGAAAAAAAAATAAAAAAGGAAAATTATAAATGAAAGTAACAGCCAGCTGTCTTTAAAAATAATAAAATATTCATTTGACATCTTGCTTTTGGGATGTCAAAAATAACAGCTGAACCTCCAACCTTCATTCCACATCAGCTTTGACAATTCGGTTGGAGTGATGTGAGATGTTATTTCTAGCTGTTAAATGTCTATGTGGCACTTTTGACATATCGGTTGGAGATGCTCTAAAACAGGAGGGGATCCGCTGTTCCTATTTTTCATGTACCTTCGTGTCCCTTGTATAATTTGTTGACACGTGTCCACTCACTTAACCCCAATAATAACACTGTTAACTTTCAATAAAATAAAAATTAAAAGAAATTAAATCCTGAAAAAGAAAAAAAACACGGCAGTCACAAAGTTCCCCACCCAAGTACCCAACCTCGACAGCCCCAAAACTCGCTGGTTCCAGTCCCCTCACCTAAGCCACACACAACCTCCACCCTGTTGCCCACTTCTCTTCCACTACCACCTCCTCCTCTTCTTCCCGATCTCCCCTCAAATTTTGGTTTCATAATTGGAAGGGTTTCAATTTTGATGGTCTTTAAATTGGGTTTCTGGGATTCATGCACCCAAAAATAAAGGCTTGAATCGGTGATTTGATAATTTTATTGAATGAATTGAAGGGTCTTGAGGTAGTTTGCATTGTGAGGGAATTTCAAGGACGGGAAGAGGTGGGTGCTGCTGCGGAGGGAGGAGGTCAGGGAAGGGGAAGAAGGATAAATTGGGTTTCTGGGATTGTGTACTGGTATATGGTTTTCCTTCGTGATCTTTCAATTGGGTTTCTGCATTCAATTGTATACTGGTTTTTCAATTGGGTTTCTGGGATTCATAAATTGGGTTTCTCAACTGAGAGTACTGATATATGGTGATTTTGTGGGTGAGGGAGGACGTAAGGGAAGGGGAAGAAGGGGAAGGGGCATGAAGGTCACGAGGGGTGGTTGCTGCTGCTATGGTGTTGGTTTTTTCTTTCTAAATTGGGTTAATGACCTAAATGGTCCCCAAATTATTGCCCCAGTATCATTTTGGTCCACCAACTAAAATTTTCAATTCAAACGTCCTTCAACTCTTCATAATATACCAAAATGGTCCATCCGTCAAAGTCTGTTTATTATTCCGTGAAATCGAGGGACAAAACCGTCTTTTTAGGTGAGTATGAATATTTATTACCTCATCGTTCATTACTCAGCCACCTCCAACAATTTCCAGCTGACCATTCTTCACTAAATTGGTGAATGATTCCCTTTTGAGGTCAGAGGAGTACCTCCACCATCTTTCCAGATAAGACATCTCCGGCCGAAACGGGTTTGCGGGAAGCGGACTTTCGGGGCTTGGGGAAACGGGTGGAGGATTTGGATTTGAAGTGGAAGGAGAGGGGACTAGGAACACCGTAACAGAGGATGACGACGAGGAAGAAGAAGATGGAGATCGAGAGGCCAATGGTGAAGAAGTTGGCGAAGATGAAGTCTCGGAGGGGCAATCGTCTGCAGGGGATGGGGATTGAGGGAGGAGGAAGAAGAAGAAAATGGGAGTTTTGTGTTAGCTTCTCAAAAAGTCGCATATACCCTTCAAAACTCAAGTCACGTGGCCATCGTGTGATCAGAAGTCACGGATTCTGTAACGGATGGACCATTTTGGTATATTATGAAGAGTTGAAGGACGTTTGAATTGAAAATTTTAGTTGGTGGACCAAAATGATACTGGGGCAATAGTTTGGGGACCATTTAGGTCATTAACCCTTTTTATAAACAAAATTAGTTTAATTTTATAGAACAAACACTGATTGCAAAACATAATTATTTTCTAAAAAAATTGTGTTCTTTCTTTCCACTCCTCGTGGACTCGACACTCAAGTTATACTGCTTAATATACGTTCACTCACTACTACATTTATCCATTTGCACGACGAAGAAGATTTAGTCGTGCAAAGAAGAATCGAGTCGCACAAACTTTACCGCGACATAATCCTCATCGCGCACTAACCGTTGCGCAAAGATCGTGAAGAAAGACATTGCGCGACAAAGAACTTTCTTGTTCGCGCATTGCGCGACAAAGTCCTTCATTAGTCGCGCGAAACTGAGTGACGGTTAACCTTCGTCGCACAAAATATTCGTCTCCCAACAGTATGCGCGACGAGAAACAAATTGTCGCACGAGATAGAGCGACGTTTAAAACTCGGGTATATTATGAATAGTTGAAGGACGTTTGAATTGAAAATTTTAGTTGGTGGACTAAAATGATACTGGGGCAATAGTTTGGGGACCATTTAGGTCATTAACCCTTCTAAATTTTATTAAGTTAACGGTGTTAATGCAGCGTTAAGTGGGTGGGCATGTGTCAAACAATTAGATAGGGGACACAAGGGTACATGTAATTTGGGGACAGCAGATCCGCTCCCGCCTAAAACCCCAACCCAAAACCTAACCTAAAACCTTTCTGAGCTCTCGTCCCCTTCTCTCGAAGTAGTCTTTTTGTGGTGTTGATCAATGAGGACGATGAATAGAGGCCAAGCCAAGACCCTAATCTTCACCAAACAGCCCTTCATCGAAGACGAAGGGCATCGTAAAATGTAAGACCTTTTTTCTTTCTTTCTTGAATTTCAATTGGTTCAGTTTGATACTAGTAAAACCATGTCGTTTTCGATTACTCAATGCCTGGTATCGTTGTGCCTGTAGAGAAAAATGGCAATTCAGCGCCATGTCCGACACGGAGATTGTCAATATGGCTGAAACTCAAATTTATAAATGCAATTATTATGATCCCAATCAAAAGCCTATCGAAGGCGGCTTATTGGACCCCCGCTTGGTACACTCTCACCCTTGAATTGTTATAGCAAATGATTTTGGTTATTGTTGAAGCAATTTTTGGTTGCTTTAATTGGATATTGTTGCAAGTTTAGATTTAGTGAATGAGTTATACCAGAACAGTCACTACAATTAACTCACACACTGGATACCATTTTCCGCAAATTCCAATTTTCTTTGTATAATTTCACGTGCATTCACATTTCACATGGACAATTCAAGTTTGAAATGATTAAATACAGAAGAAAGAATTACTATGTAGCATTCAAACTATGGAGTATGCTTTACTTGGCTGTCCTTGTTGTTTCAGGGCCCAGCAAATAAGAGTAGTGGTGAGTGTGCGACATGTGGTGCGGTAATGAAGGACTGTCCAGGGCACTTTGGATTCTTGGTGCTTGCCCTCCCTGTCTTGAATGTTGGATATTTAAGTACTATTGTGGACATTTTGAAGTGCATTTGCAAGGTACAAGGATTGTGTTTCCTTCCATTTGTGATTTCTTTCTAGTAACTTTTTATTGTTGAATTTTATTCACGAGCGGTTTCCATGATAAATTTCTGCTATTATTATTATTTTTGTAGTTATGTTCTGGCATACTTTTGGAGGAGGGAATGCGCAATGACTTTTTGAAGAAGATGAGAAGTCCCAAGATGGAGCCTTTGAGGAAAACTGAGTTGATGAAAAAGATAGTGAAGAAGTGTAATAACTTGGCAACCAATTATAGACCAGTGAAGTGCTCCAAATGTGGATTTATAAATGGTTTGGTTTCTATATTTTTTCTTTATACTTTCATCAAATTTTTTTTTTCGGTGGCTGGAGCTTCTGTCATCTTTCAAAAAGCGTAGTGATTGCCTCGATATGTTATGTATGACAGGTTCAGTGAAGAAGGCCGTGGGTGTGCTGGGCATTATTCATGATCGTTCAAAACTTAATGGTGTTATGGATGACTTTCGAACAACACTTTCTCACACGAAAGAGTCGAAGGCATCCTTTAATGTGGCAACTCATATGCTAAACCCTGCTAGAATTTATTCTCTGTTTAAAAGGATGGTTGATGAGGTACTTGTATATGAGAGTCTTAAGAACCGTTTAATTCTATAGAAGTTGATTATTTTGGTAATTGTAATTTTATAGTTGGTAAGCAAAAAAAGGGAAAAAAGAAAAAATATGGTGGATGCTAGTCATTTTCTTTCATCTCTGTTCCTCTTGAAGCAGATTTATATATTCTATTGTTATTGCAGGACTGCGAGTTGCTTAATCTTTCGAATAGACCAGAGAACCTCATCATGAAAAACATTGCTGTGCCACCTATAGCTATTCGGCCTTCTGTTATTGTGGATAGATCACTGAGGTTGTCTCAACATGCCATTTATTCACTTGCAGATTTTGTCTCCCTTTTTCTCTCTTATGTTTTACTTAGGTGTCATCATATCCTTCTGCGGTATTCCAGTGGTTTTAAGGTGGCACAGTTGCAAATGATGCTGATTGGGTTTCAATTTTTCCTATTGCAGCAATGAAAATGACATTACAGAGAGGTTAAAGAGAATTATTCAATCCAATGCTATTCTTAGACGGGATTTATTAGAAGCAAAATCTGCACCCAAATGTTTGGTATGATAGAGGACACTTGTCTGACCTTGAGTACTGCAAGGCTTGTTGTATTGTGCCTTCAATGATGTCTTTATTCATAGTTTATTGTTAGTGTAGTCTCCTTATTTACTTCACATTTGTACATGAAATTGTGCATGTTTGACTTGATATAGACTCCTTCCCAGGCATGAGTCCGAAATACTCGTTTTGTATGTGATCTTATGTGCTGGTGTGGTCAAGTAAATACTTGATTTACTGTATTTGATGTATGATGTGATTTCCGTTTGTATGAGATATATGCTGATTTATATTTTAGTTTTGCTGAGAAATGATTCACATTCATGATTTTATGCATTATTTTTTTGTTAGTTTACCAGATTACATTCTTATGTTGTCTCTATTGTTTAAAACTCAAACAAAAACTCCTTTAGTTTTCTAGCCATATCACGTTGGTCCAACATTCCGTCAATTTTGTCGACAGAACATGCATGTCACTCTTTTTTTCTGGGTCAAACATATGCATAAGTCACTCAGGGAAAGTACAATTGGGGCCAAAAGGAGTGGTTTGCTGAAGTTGTTTGGGTAGAGGTGGGTGTGTCATAGAACAGCTATGTATTGCTATTGTGAAATTGTTTTGGTGCAGGGGCATCCAAGAAGGTGTGTACTCTTTGAAGATGTGCTTGGCTTCATCATGGGTTTTTTGGTTGGAATGGAACAAGTAAATCTTTGAAGGCGAGAAGAGTTGAACTCAGTTTGGGATAGATTATATTTTTAGGTTCTATGTGGACTTCTTGTGCAGAGATTTTAAGACATTCCCCTTAGCGAAGTTCTTCTGGATTGGGGAGTTGTGCTCTACTGAGAGTTGTCCAGGAAGCTTTTTTCTTTGTTTTGAATTGAGAGATGCTTGTTCTTGTATTTTAGTTTATGTGTCTTGTTTTGGTTGGCTGACGGTAGTATTCTTATAAAAAGAAAAATAATCACGTTCATTTATTAATATTTTTCCTACATTAACTTTTTTATGTTTCTGTAGCGGTTCACTTGAACTTTGCATGCGCTTTTTATGGTTTAGAATATCTGAGTTAATTATGAGGCCTCCTTTTGCACGTGGCTGTATTATCTTTCTTGTATGTGTATCTGAATATCTTTTTACATCTTGTTCTGCTGGTGAAGTAAATTGTATAGTAGGTGTCACTTGTGCTTCCATATTGTGATTGTGTAATGCTTAATGCTGAGAATTGTGGTCCAGGCTAGTTGGGATATACTTCAAGTTGAGGTTGCACAGTATATAAATAGTGACGTTCGTGGTGTTCCCTTTTCCATGCAAACTGCCAAGCCATTGAGTGGTTTTGTGCAGCGGCTCAAAGGGAAGGGGGGGCGCTTTCGTGGTAATTTATCAGGGAAGCGTGTTGAATATACTGGCAGAACTGTTATATCACCTGACCCTAATTTGAAAATCACTGAGGTTAGATGTTGTGCTAAAACCTGCGCCAAGCATTCATGCTAGTTTAATTTATGTGCCTGTTGTTAGGTTTGTTTCCTCTGAAATTTTTATTGGATTTAGGTTGGAATCCCTATCAAAATGGCTCAAATATTAACTTATCCAGAACGTGTTTCCCATCATAATATTGAGAAGTTGAGGCAGTGTGTCAGTAATGGACCTGATAAGTACCCTGGTGCCAGAATGCTCAGAAATCCTGATGGCACTGAATGGTAGGGGATTAACTTTTTTCTGTTCTTTTCTCATACGGAAATGCTTGCTTTGATGGTGATTTGAATTTATTGTTTTGTGCTGAAGGTCCTTAAAGGTTAACAGAAAGAATGCTGCTGATGGACTCAAATATGGTGACATAGTTGAACGTCATCTAGAAGATGGGGACATTGTTCTTTTCAACAGACAACCAAGCTTGCATCGGATGTCTATCATGTGCCATAGGGTGATTACATATTTTGAATGAATTTTGTATATGTTTTTCACATGAATTTTATTGATATTTGGTCACACTTTATCAATTTGTGAATGCAGGCTAAGGTTATGCCTTGGAGAACATTGAGGTTTAATGAATCTGTTTGCAACCCTTACAATGCTGATTTTGATGGTGATGAAATGAATATGCATGTCCCACAAACAGAGGAGGCTCGGACAGAGGCTGTTATGTTGATGGGGGTAAATTAGATTGAATCTTCACTTCATTGAGATATATGCCAATTGGTGTCCATAAAACTACAGCTTTTCCCTACATTAAAACTAAAATTTTTTGCATTGGGATTATTTGAGCATTGTAGTGAGAGAATTACAAGAAAAGTTACCAGAGGAGTGAGCTGACCATGACCTATCAACATGATTCGGATGCAAGGAGACTTTTAAGACATGAAGGCAATTCCGAATATTTTTGTTACTATCTCTGAAGTTTATCATATAAGGAATATCAAGTTTATGCATATTGGAAAAGTGGCCTGGAACAATGGCTTTAATGACAAAAAGGACTAAGGATGCAAAATTTTAAGCCTAAAATTCAATTGGACCCTTTCTGGACCATACCTTTCCATTGGACCCCTTATGGAACACAGAATGAGAATAATATTTTTTGAAGTTGGAACCAACCAACTGATGACTAAAGTGCCCTATGACATTATCATGACCGCTAGGAACAGGATCTTATAAGGAGGGATTCACTTTTACAGGAATATACAAATTGCAATTATTTTCATCACATGTTTAATTGATCTAAGAAACGCCTCCTCGTGTCCCACCCTAACCCAACCTACACACACAAGTCAATATAGTATTTGAATGGTTAGCTCTCTCAATCCTGAATCTCCTGAGCCATTGTTGTTTTATCTGGAGTTAGGTTTACAGTGATTTATGTACCCTTTTCCCTCCCAAACTGTCTTTCTGTCAGCTTTGGTTTTTCTGTAATTTTATTTTATACCACTTGTCTACAGGGGCAGTGACCCTTTAATGCTTTTTAGTTAAACGTTCTACTTATCTGCAGAGTAAGTGCATATGGGGCAGCTGAACAGCTCCTAAATTTTATGAAGAATGTACCTCAGCTAAGCTAGGACGTTTCTGAAACATCATTAGTTCCATCTTAGTTGTCTAGTTTGTCCCTTTTTAGACTTTGATTGACTATTTATCATCATGGACCCTTTAATTTATTTATTATCTTTCGTGTGGGAAAATGAAATGAAATAATGCTTCATTTCACTGATCTAGATTTGATGGGGGTGCTATTTATCATGTACAAGTTTTCTAAAAGGAGAAATTTTAGAAAAGTGGAAAAGTAATCCACCAATAACAGAAAGAAACAAGAAAACAAATACAGAGATCTACCACTATGAGAAAAAAAAACCAATCCTAATCAAGACACTGCAGCCTTCCAATCACGCAAAATGGTTGAAAGGGATGTATTCCTAAAAAAGGGAGAAACAGAAACCCAGAGCGCTGCCAAGTACTTTGCCTTCGCCCACACCTCCTCTACTTCTGCCCCCCACCGGCATCTTCAGTTACTTATGCTTCTGGTTGACTGTTCACTGCATTTTGTTTTCATGTAACATTTCAGTGTATTTTTCAGGTGCAAAACAATCTATGCACTCCGAAAAATGGAGAAGTTTTGGTTGCTTCCACTCAAGATTTTCTAACATCCTCTTTCCTTATAACAAGGAAGGACACATTTTATGACCGTGCATCCTTTTCACTCATGTGTTCATATATGGGGGATGGAACGGATCCTGTTGACTTGCCAACACCTGCTGTAATTAAGGTGAGTTGCTAAAGCCATCGTTTATTTCTATTGTGACACAATTGTACATATACACTTTGGAATTTTGGTCAAATGTCTATATCATTTCTTCTATATATATGTTCTTTTCCTAACTGAAACACAGTTGTTGTTTTGCAGCCAATAGAGCTATGGACGGGAAAGCAATTATTTAGCGTTCTAGTACGCCCAAATTCAAATGTGAGAGTCTATCTAAATTTTACTGTTAATGAGAAATCATACAGCAAGACTGAAGATGGAGGACCTGAAGCAATGTGCCCAAATGATGGGTTTGTTTATTTTCGTAACAGTGAGCTCATAGCTGGCCAACTTGGGAAGGGTACTTTAGGTCAGTGTTTTGACAATATGTGTTTGTCTAGTAGTTCTACATTTTTTAGAATTGAAGCACAAGTAATAAGATGTATCATTTTTAGTACATTTCTCAAATTAAATATTTGAGGGCCAATTTTATTGTCCTAGATAGCTTCATGGTGCTGGTACCAGGGCATATGAAATATCAACCTGGTAAAGTAGCATATCTATGGTGCTGTATTGGACCTTAATTGGTTCAACAAAATTGGTTGAGATTTTAAAATGATACAAAGTGGTAGATGTGACTTGTGATGACATGAGAACTTCTGTGAGCAGGCTGAATAGCAATTTACTCTATGAACATGGCCTTTCCTCTGTTGTTGGAAGCTGTCAGGGGCATTTGTAGAAGGTTCTGAAGGGCTCTCTCCTCTATGTCACTCATAGCTTCTACTAAAAAACCTTATAACCATACTAACGTTAATTTCCCAAGTACTTTAGACCTGTGTTACAAATCTCCATTGTGTTGGATACTAATGTTTGTTAGCTAGTTAAGTTGATTGATTGGAAGCTTAAATTTTTTCTGAGCTGTGGCTTGTTTTTTGGAGTTTTTCTTTGTCAGCTTTGGATATTTGAGCAAGTGATACTGATATTCACAGTTTTGCATTTGTATCACTTTAGGAAATGGCAATAAGGATGGACTTTACTCTGTACTTCTCAGAGACTATAAAGCTCATGCGGCTGCTTCTTGCATGAATCGCCTCGCTAAGTTAAGGTATTATCAAGCACAGTTTTTCTTGAATGCAAGCTTCTTTTAGTCCATCTTGGCTGTGTTCATCGTAATTCACATTTGAATTTAATTTTTTTCTTCAGATTTCTAATTTAGTTTTTGTTGCAGTTTATTTTCAAGCACTAAAAGAAGTAGGGCTAAAAGTGACTCAACATGTTGAATACGACCTCTTTATATATATATATATATATATATAAAGTATGGCTAAAAAAAGTGACTCAACATGTTGAATACAACTTCTTTATATATATATACAAAAATTCTCCTATGCGGACATCCAGACATTATTATCGTGCTGACGCCATATATTTTCTAAAACCCCTCCCAGCTTTCCTCCCTATTTACAATGGCATCCGTACGATAATAACGGACATCTGGATGAGATAATAACTGTATATATATATATATATATACTTTTACTCAAATTAGAATTTGCAACAAATGGAATGGAATTGATAAATTCTACTTAGACTTATGAAATTTTGTATAGAATATCAAAACGAAAAGTGACTCAATTTCTACCATTATTATGATATTCCTTATTCCAATTGGATACCCTAAATATTTTTCCTGTATCTTCTGACCAAAAAGAACAAAGAAAACCTAGTCTGACATGCATTTTGAGTGCTCTAAGAACATTGCATTGAGAGTTAGAATCATTTGAATGTTTCTATTTACAATATATTCTGTAGTTTTAATGGCTGTCAATCACTCATTTCTATTTTGCATGATGTTGTATAGTCTTCATGTCTTCCTATTTTATTAACTTCAGTGGAGTGGACTATTCTATTTCTTAGCTTACAATTTGTTTTGTAGCTTTGATGGTTATCCTAACTCAGTTTCATACTGAATTAGGCTGCATTTATTCTTGTCTTCATTTTAAAATGTCCAGCCTTAGTACCTTACGTTGGTAAATTGGAAATTGTCTTATTGTAATATTGTCAGTATTTTAAATCTTATAGCTGGGCGTTTCAATTATTAATCACTTGTCTGTTATGATGCCTATATATTTTAAATATGTTTTGTGAGCATTTATATGGTAAATACAACATTAGTATGTGATTAATATTGTTTGTATTTGCTTGGATTGCAGTGCTCGGTGGATTGGTAATCACGGATTCTCAATTGGGATTAGCGATGTACAACCAAGTGACATTTTGTACAATGAAAAGGAAAAGATAATTAAGGAAGGTTATAACAAATGTGCTGGTAAGATAGAGTTATATAATGAAGGACAGCTACCACTTGAACCCGGTTGTGATGCGGCACAATCACTTGAGTCTGGGATAACTAAAATATTAAACAATATTAGAGATCAAACTGGAAAGGTGAGTTTTATATTTTACTATTTTGCTTATTATGCACTGAACTTCTGTTTTGAATTTCTTTGGCTTAATTATAGCAATGGTCCCTGAACTATATTCGTAGTTACATTTTCGTCCCTCAACTTCAAAAATAGTTGCGGAGGTCCCCTAATTAGATGTCGTGTTGCACCATTCGTCCTTCTGTTAGTTTTTCTGTCAAAGTTAGTCACATGCCAGGCACGTGATATATTTTTAAGGGTAAATAAGACTTTTACCTAGCTAATAACACCTCTGTATACCCAAACCTCTCAACCCAGCCGCCCAAACCATCAGTCCAGCCGCCCAAACAACCATCCTCCCGAGTCCCGACGAACAATTTATTCCATGAAGGGCATTGAGTCCGGAGTAGCTCAAGCTCCTCTCCAATGGCAATCACTAAGCTGTCACTTTCAACCATTTACTTCTGCACCACAAAGCAGCAGCAAAATCAAGACCAAGAAAAAAGAGCCATTCGTGGAAGTGAACATAGGCACAGACGTTTCAAATCTTCTATTTCCTCAGACTTACTTTCGTTCTTCCAAGTCCAGCAGATCAACCGCATAACAACAAAAATTCAAACCCTAGGTGAGGTTGGGGAAGCTTTGGGGGTTGATAATGGGGAGCAAACAACAAAAATTCGAGAATGCAAAACAGAAATTCAAGCAAAATACCGGGAATTCAACAACCTCTACCTCGTGATGGTCTGCAATCTCCTCAACAAACCCCTTCTTTTTGGCTTGGATTCTTGCAATGAATCATCATTATTGACCTAAAACAAAATTGGGATGTGATTTTCTAATGTTGATTTCATGTGAAAGGTGGGTGGGGTTTTCTAAGTTTATGTTATTTTCAAATGGAGACAGATGATTTGAGGTGGATGGGTGCGGCGAGACATTTTAGTAAGGGTGGGGGGTGGGGTGGCTGGAGGTAGGGGTTGGTGGGGTTGGGAACGTGGAAAGACAAATTTGGCCCTGAAATTGACGGCACATTAGAGACACTTGACGGTAAGGACGAAAGGTGCAACACAATACCTAATTGGGGGACCTCCGCAACTATTTTTGGAGTTGAGGGACGAAAATGTAACCACGGGTATAGTTTAGGGACCATTGCTACAATTAAGCCAATTTCTTTTTTAGTGTATTTTTTTAAGCGTCAATCTCAAATCTTAGTAATTACTTCTTCATCTTCATTTGCAATTTTAATGTTTGCTTGTGTGCTCTCAAGAAAGCTATTCATGGTAGCACCTCAGTTTGTTCAGCAATTATTTGTATTTTCTATTGTCATCATATTTTCAGAGATGATGGTTTTGAAATAGCCTTTGACCTTTATTTTTCACAGTTGTGCATGCAAACGCTACATTGGAGAAACAGTCCCTTGATCATGTCCCAGTGTGGTTCTAAAGGATCTCCTATCAATATTAGCCAGATGATTGCCTGTGTTGGTCAACAATCGGTTGGTGGTCGTCGTGCACCTAATGGATTCATAGATCGAAGCCTTCCTCACTTCCCTAGAAATGCAAAAACCCCTGCAGTAAGTTCCGTACACTTTTTAACCAGTAATTCTATGTGTATGTGAGATGTACTGTCAGTATGAAACCTAGACAAAATATGCAGCATCTTGTCTTCGAGCATTGCATCCCCCTCCCCCACAACCTACTTCTTGTTTTCACGTTGTTTGGAACTAGGCACAAACAATTGATAATGATTTAAGATAATTTGGAGTCTGGATGGAGCACAATAGAAGAACCTTTAAGGATTATAAGGGCATAGGGTAGATGAACTTTGGGACAGAGTGAAGGTTCTGGGCAGCTTATTAGGCATCTATTTCGGCTGATTTTAAAGATTATGCCCGTTGTTTTATAATTTTGGATTTTTTAGCAGCTCTGAAGCAAGATTAGAATTTTTCGTTTATCATGTTCTATTTTACATCTTTTTGAGTTGTACTTTCTTGTATTTACTTGTTCCTTCCTAGATTGTCGATTCATTGTCCACTCTTTGTAATTAGCTTTCCTACTTTAATAAAATTATGTCTCTTTTCAAAACACAAAAAAATATTTATTTTGTTTGAGGAGAATTTCTTTCTAAAAATATTTCTGCAATTTTCACATTTAATGCGACTTAAAACATTTTGTCCACTCTATTTGTTTCTTAGTCTGTGAAAAAAAAACTTCTCACTGGTAGTACAAGATGTATCTTAGACTAAAAAGTTGAATCATATCTGACTGCATCACCCCAACTATTAACATTCATGAGCATTCAGTGGTGGACCCAGAATTTAACTTTTGCAGGGGCGAACTTAATGCTAAATTGACAAGACCAAAAATTCTAAAACAGCATAACCGAAACATAAAAATCAATAATGAGGCAACATTTAAGAACTAGAGAGAAGGATATATAAAATTGCATGGGTTATGTATGAAACTGATATTCTCTGAGGGGGCAGCCTATGCCAGGTCCTAAAGTTTAAGTTTAACTAAAGTTCCTTCTGGCTCTAAAACATGTTCTTTAGTAAGTAAAAACATGTCTATAAAAAATTGAATTATAAAATTCATTGTCACTTAGGTAATGCATTATGAGAGATGAATTATCAAACATCTTTCAACATTGTGGTGGAGAACGGTTTTTTTTTGTTATTCTTCATCCTTGTTTGTGTTTATAGCTCAAATATATATCTTGTTTGTAGGAAACCATTGGTCTATATTCTTGCGATTAAGGGTCATTCTGTTATTATTTATGCAGGCTAAAGGCTTTGTTGCTAGTTCCTTTTACAGTGGCTTGACAGCTACAGAGTTCTTTTTCCATACTATGGGCGGGCGAGAGGGGCTTGTCGATACAGCTGTATGTTAAATAGTTCTTACATTATGAAGCGTCTAAATCACATTATTAATCTGTGCATTTTTTTCTATACTACTTTATTTGGACCTGAATTTTGCAACTCTTCTCATTGCATGACTTGTCAAATTTGCATATGGCATGCTACTGGAGCATTGATACAGCTAAAATATATTGGATGATAAAGACAATTCTAGATGGATAATTAATACAAGTGAGGCTACTGCCTGACAAACATGTACATGTGCCCACTTAGACTTAGAATAGTAGCTATTTTATGACATTGTTACTGGCCAAGTTCATTACTCTGGTAGTTGTTCTCGTTTGTGTGTTGCATGAGTTGATATAAATTGGTAGTCCTGTATCCCAAAAACGGTATAACTGTTTTTTTTTATAATTAGTTTTTAAGGAAGCATAAGTGTTATTACTAGTACCAAACAGGTTATAAGAAAATGCAACATAGAGGACAAGAAGTGCACTTCAGTCAAACAAGCAGAATCTTATTTTGAAACAACGATAGTCTAAATTAATCTAATCTATGGGGAGGGGGATTCGAACTTCGGTGCAAGGGTGCGGGCTCACTGCCCTGGCCAATTGGCTAAACTTCTGCAAACAAGCATAATCTTAAACTACATCAAAAACATCAGACCCAAACATTAACCTACAGCAAGCTACCAATAACAAAATATCTGAAAAAGACACATCCTTAAACTCTATAGAAACTGATGCCCAGAGAAAACAACAACCTGACATCCACAACCTGACATTGTCTCGTTAGTCCTCAACCCGTCTACCTCCTACTATAATCCTTGAAGATTCTTCTGTTTCTCCATCTAAATCACCCGAAATATAACTGAAACCATGCATCCCTGGATGACCTTGGCCTTCTTCATACTAGCTGATACTTTATGCTTCTCGCAAAGAAATGAAATACAACTCATTGGAATTACCCAATACACCTTTCAGCCATAGCCAAAAACTCGCTGCAAATTCAAATGTAAAAAAGGTGGTCGACATTTTCCTCCCTCTATTTACACATTATACACCAATGCAAAAACCCAGTTGAATCTAGCCTCCATCTTCTTGCATCTTTCCTGGTGAGATATAAAAGAACACTATCTACTAGTAACAGCATCAAGATGATTTTCCCAGCTCAACAAATTCCTTCTAAGCCCAAAATTACATCTTACAGGATAATTAGAAGATTCAACGAGATTGGATTATGTAATCTGGGAAACATAAAGCCATGGAGACCCTGTGCGACATAGACTCATTTTCTGTCTGAAACCTCCACAGCCACTTGTCCAATAAAAGCCTTGTTTTTGGTCTCTGAATGACCTATTCCCAAGCCTGCCTTATCTTTGCTTTGAGATGCTAAATCCCATATGACTAAGTGGTCTTTCTTGTCCTCCCCAAATCCAATGGAAATTTCCTCACAAAACCAGCTACCTCACTAGGTATCTTAAATAAAGAAATGCAATAAGTTGGCAAGCTTCCAAGCACAGCTTGAGTTAAAGTAAATCTCCTCCCTTTTGAGAGAAAAACCTTCTTCCAACCTTGAAACCTCTTTTCCATCTTCTTTATTACCGGATTCCAAAACCTTGCAGCTCTAGGATTCCCTCCTAAAGCAAGGCCCGAATATTTTAGAGGCCAAGACAGCCATGAATTTGCCAACCATTCCTAACACAGCATCATAGCCTTGTTTTTTGTTCATATGTTCAAATTCAAATTGTGGTGATCCTTGTTTAAGGTTAAGCATATGTAAGGCTTAATTTTTAAGTTTTATGGGAATGAGGTGGAGTGTTAGTATTGTTGAGCTTGGTCTGTTGTTGGGCCTATTTACAAACGGCTTAAGCTTGATGGTATTTCACAGCTGTATTTATTCTCTATCAAGTACAAGGCACAAGAAAATATGAGTTCTTTTTTCAAGGAATACAATGAGCTTGAGGTGGTCTAGAATGGATTTTGGGAAGTTGATCTAGCATCGAGTTCTTTTTTCAAGGAATTCATAGCATTTTCTGCTCATTTACATACATTATCATAGCTCGTAGGATCCTTGAGCTAGAGTTGTGGTCTGTGATTCAGAGTTTGGGTTTTGTGCTAAATATTGTGAATTATTCACGTTTTTTGTTTCTATTATGTTTATATATTCATTCAATGTGACACTACTCTTATTTCATATGTGTAATCAATGTAAACTAGATATATGAAATATTGTCACTGATATTGTCTGATGGTGTAAAGTAAGATATATATAAAAACTTCAGGCCTTGCTGGAGCCATCATCTCTTGGCTTTATGTGGTTCATTATGGCACAATGGTGCTTGAGAATAACATTTGAATGCATTGGTTTTCGTGGGGTTCGATTCTATCAGCCAAAAAGAGTGTTGTTTGGCTTGCATTTTTTATTTATATAGTTCTATTATGACGATTGCAGGTGAAAACAGCTGACACTGGGTACATGTCTCGTAGATTGTCGAAAATTTTAGAGGACCTATCTGTCCAGTATGATAACACAGTACGGAATGCAAGTGGATGCATAGTTCAATTTTGTTATGGGGATGACGGTATGGATCCTGCAATGATGGAAGGAGAAGGGGGAGCTCCTTTAGATTTTCGTCGATTGTTTTTGAAAGCTAAGGCATGAAACCCTTTATTTAATGATTTGGAATTGATTGTAATTTTTTCATTGTTGAGTTGATAATGTTCATTTACAGGCCACATGTCCTGCTGGAGAAAATGAAAGCTTGTCCCTTGAAGAAGTGTCTGAGATCGTGAAAGACCGGCTTTCAAAACAAGATATGACTCCTGATCATGGTTGCTCTGCAGGTTTCAAAAGTTCTTTAGAGGAATTCCTGGATAAATATGCAAAAGCATTAAGAAAAACACATGATACTTTTGTGTTGGATCAAAGTCCGGCTTGGAAGGAAAAGTCTGCTAGTCTGGAGAAGATTGTCCAAAATATTTCTGGTGTTACTTGTAAACAGCTCGAGGTACTTGTTTTCTTATGTTCTAAAATTGGTCACCTTTTTCTTTCTTTCTTTTGTTTATACTCTCTCTCTCTCTCTCTCTCTCTCTCTCTCTCTCTCTCCATATTTGTATGTCTACATATATGTACGTAGCTATACATATATGCATGAAACTCCGCAGTGCGTGTGTGCCAAAAATACATTGGTCTAGGGTGTTTGAATGTTCAATGTGTTTTTTGCGAGTGCATTGCAGACATTCACGCTTGATTTTTTCCACATGTATACATACATATATATATATACACACATATATCAATGGGCATGCCATGTAATGTGATCTATAATATAACGGTTAATTTTTTATGGAAAATTTTCTGTGCTTTACATGGAGCAAAGATTAGGTGGATAGGAGAGAATGGTGTGGGTCGGAGCATTTTGTGGTGGAGATTTCTTTGAGGTGAAGGCTTTCTATGCAGTTGTATTGGGGAAGCATCATGGTTCTTTCTCTTGACAAGAAGTCTGGAAAGTTAGCACCCCTCCAAAATTGGGTTTCTTTATTTGGACTTGGTTCTTGATAAATTTTTTACGTCTATTAATGTGATACATAGAGGATAGTTTTGATATATTATATGGTGTACATGAGCCAGACACGTGGTGTCAGATTTCCATTGCAGGAGAGGTATGGGTTTCATTGTTTGGGATCTACTGGGTGTTTGTAGGACCGTGAGGGACATGCTTCATGCTTGTATGATGGCAGAGGAGATCTATTAGAAAGTTTGGAAAATTGTTCCAACATGCAGGTTTTTGTATTTTTGGCTATAAACGAATAGAAGATGGGCTGCAGTTTCTAAGATGACATTTTGGGTGGACAGATAGAAGCCCTTCACCTTTGTGTCTTCAGAGTTTAGATTTTTTTCTTTTTGTGCTTGACCTAATGCTTTGCTGCTGCTGTTTTTTTAGTTAAATCTTTACACGGTATTTGACAAAAAATAAAAATAAAAATAAAAATTGTTCCAATCCCAATTTTTGGAATGTTTGAATGCCTGCCAGCCTTTGAGGTGAGAGGATAGTGACAACTTATAGAAATCAGTCTATGTCTGATGTGGTTTATTGAAGGAGGAGAGTTGTTTTGCAGTTTGAGTTTCCATCCAATAAGCCTAGTCTTTTGCTTATAAGATTGAGTAATTGATGTTGCACTTAGCTGTTTCCTTTTTCTAATTGGTCTCCAGCAAATCAAGCTCTTGTCTGGTCTTGATTTAGCACTGGTGGTGAAAATTTACCTCAATCAGATCTATTAACTCTCTTCTATTTCAGCTCTAGTGAGCAGTGTTAATTGTCAATTTGTATGTTTCTGCTCACTGTGTTATGCAATCTGTGTTGTTAGTTAGATTTCTGTAATGGCATAAACCCTCCTTTGTTGGGGCTGTCATTTGTACTCAAATCTTGAATTTTCCTCTGTTTAATCAATGACATAGAATGATTTTCACACGAAAAAAAACTGTATTATGTGACGTTTAAGTGTTGTCTTGGTGTCCATTGTATACCTTTGTGTGCTAGAATTTGCCCTTTATATTTTCTAGAGTTTGTTGCCTCTATTAAATTTCCTTTACATCCAAATTGTAGGTTTTTCTCAATACTTGCATTTCTCGTTATCATTCAAAAAAAGTCGAAGCTGGAACAGCAATTGGAGTAATTGGAGCTCAAAGTATTGGCGAACCTGGGACACAGATGACACTGAAAACTTTTCACTTTGCTGGGGTTGCAAGCATGAGTATCCTTTGTTCATTTGCTTATCTATTTTGAGGGAAGATAAATATATATCAACTTCATGGCCTTTTGGATATTTACTGGCTGTGTTTCAATTTGATCCTTAACAATATGTTAGACGTTACACTTGGAGTCCCTCGTATCAAGGAAATAATAAACGGAGCAAAAAAGATCAGTACACCCATTGTCACTGCAATACTTGAGCATAATAATAATGCGAAATTTGCACGGGTAGTGGCAGGTCGGATTGAGAAAACAATTCTTGGGCAGGTATGTATGTAACTAATTTGTTAGAGATGCTGTGAATTTAATTTATATCTTTGTTTGCATCATATATTGATGTGTTTCAAGTTTTCAACTGAAAGTGAAAAGTCAACAATGCAAATTGGCGTTTCTCTTTCTCTACGTCTTTGGATTGCTAGGTTAATGGTTTTTTTAACTGTGAGTTGGATTGTTTAGCAACTACTTTGTTAGAAAGTCAAACAAGTTGTTTGATATGTTTTGGGATGTTTTAAGGTAAAGATTGATGTTCTGGTTGTAGTTTATGTTATTTCAGTTATAATGGTTTGTTGGACTCATATGGATCTAAAACTTTTGAACAACTAATTTGATATTTCTCAAATTTATTGTTTCTGTTGAATTGCATAGTGCTGTCTCCTCTCCAACTCCATGTATGATCTTACTTACAAATTTGTATATCATTATGAAGGTCTCTAAGAGTATAAAAATTGTAATGACTTCAAGATCGGCATCCATAGTCATCACTCTTGATATGGTCATGATTCAAGATGCACACTTGTCTATAGATGCTAATGTCGTAAAAGAATCAATTTTACGAACTCCGAGAATCAAACTGAAGCAAGAGGTGAGAATGCATGTTAGTTTTCTATTTTTTTTTTTTTAATGTTCTTAACTTCTTAATATCTCATGGTCACATCTACTATGCAGCATGTTAAGGTTTTGGATATCAGAAAATTGGAAATCCTTCCTCAGGAGGCTGATAGAAGTAGACTCCATTTTAACCTCTACTATTTAAAGAGTATGCTCCCAAAAGTTATAGTAAGGGTGAGGCTTCTTGAATTTTTTTTCCTGAATATTGCTTTTTATGGATGACACTGCTTTTCAGTTTGCCATGCTTAGAATGTTTGGTGCAGATGTGATTCATTACATTCTTTCAATAACAGGGTATAAGCACTGTTCAACGTGTTGTCATTGATGCAAAAGAAGTTAAAAAGAATAAAAAGGATCTTGAAGTTACATGCGCTGATGGTGATAAAAGAGAAGAAAAGGAGTACAAGTTGTTTGCAGAAGGGTGAGTTTGTTCTGAAATTTATTTTGCTAGTTTTAGTAGCTTTTGAACCGGCTTCATGTTACACCTCTTTAAAGTATTGTGCTGGTTTGCCCCCCATGTTTTATTTTAGTTCTCATGCAACTTGGTGATTCATATATCTTTCTATTGGCGTCATTCAGCATGCTTCTCGTTGCAAATTTAGTTAGTTGTCTTTTCCAAATTGGTTGGTTTATTCATGTTGCCATGTCAATTTTCAGTGGCTGAACTTAGTAAACAAATTTATTTATCTCAAAATCACTTCCAGAGAGAACACTACCCAGGTTGGTTTGGCCTGTGCTTCAGTAACTTCGCCTTGTAATAATGATCAACATACCCAGTAAGAAAGCTCCAAACAGGAATCTCTCTGTGTACTATCTTCCACTTCTGTTCTGGAAAAGAAGGAAGATCAAACAACCAATGAACCATAGGAGCCAAACGTGACATATTTCAGACCCTAGTCATGTGTTTCCCCCATGAAAGAAAGTTTCTAGTTTTCATTAGTGAAGCTGCCTTACCGAGATAAGATTTTTTTTTTTTTTTTTTATAAAGGAAACAAATTTTATTGCAATAAACAATAGAATACAGAAATGCCAAGGTGGCCACAAAGAAACAGATACAAAGAAAGAGCAACTACACTGAACAAACCCTAAGCTACTAGCAAAAGAACCCCAGTAGCACACACAACTTATAGCTAGGAAATGGCTGCTTTCCAATCCAGCCAAATAACCCTAAAGGACATATCTCTAAAGACTGAAGAAGTCGAGGTCCATAGTGAAGAACATAGTCGAACTTTCTCCCATAATTCCTCTGTTTCACGACCTGCTTGGTCCTAAAAAATTAATCTGTTTCGTTCTAACCAAACCGCCCAAAGAACAGCCAATACACTACAGCCCCATAAAACATTGGCTTTCTTCCTGTTCCCGGGGATTCTGTGCTTCTTGGACAAGAAAGACTGGCAGTCCTTGGGCATGACCCAACTGACTCCGAACTCCCTAAAAAATCAGAACCATAGGTTCAAAGTCACCGGGCACTGTAAGAAAAGATGGTCAGTCGATTCTAAGCAGTTCTTGCAAAGAATGCACTACTGAGGGCTAAGACAGGAAAAGGTTCTTCTTTGAAGCATGTCACACGTATTAGCCTTCCCATGAGCCACAATCTAAGCAAAAACTTTCACTTTAGGAGGGGCCGTAGATTTCCAGATCAAATCATGTTGCTGAAATATATTGTCAGCTTCATTGAGGAGCAAAAGTCTGTAATAAGATTTGACAGAAAAACACCCCGTTGCTTAGCAAAGAAAAGATTATCATTATCCTGAATGAAGGCAAACATAATAGATGAGAAATATCCTAAAATGATGTGGAAAGGGGAAACGAGAGGGTTGTACGTATGCTAACATTATTGCTGCCTTATCTTTTATCCTTTGAATTTCTTTTTCCCTTTCCTGTCTTGCTTCATATGTTGCGACGATGCAAGTCATCTTATTAAAAGTATTTGTATATTCCCTATGATGAGAAATTTCAAGTAAAGAACAGGGTAGTTTCATCGCTGGCATGACAGAAAGCAAGAAAACTAAGTGGATTATGCGCTATGCAATATAACGACGGGCATGAGCAGTTTTGAATTAATGTGCTTCTAGTATTTTTGATCATATTGATACTTTAAGTGCTAGCTGTTATTTACTTAACAAAAAAAGTGAGATTCTAAAAGCCAGCTGTTGTTTCTTTAATCTTAATATCTTTTGTGCCACCTTTTTAGCACGGGTCTTCTGGCAGTAATGGGCACTGAAGGAGTTGATGGTTGTAAAACCACAAGTAATGATGTTATGGAAGTGCAGCGGACACTTGGAATTGAAGCTGCGAGAGTTTGTATCATTGAGGAGATAAAGCATACTATGAAATCGCATGGAATGAACATAGATGATCGCCATATGATTTTTTTAGCAGATGTGATGACGTATCGGGTGAGTAGTTTCCGTTGATACTGAATCTTTTGACTGGAAAGCTAAAAGGAAAAATTGGAATACACTCTAATATATTAGACATATGCAAATGTGGTGAGGATGTATATTCATGTGTTAATTATTTTGCATGACAGGGTGAAGTTCTTGGAATCACAAGATTCGGTGTTCAGAAGATGGACAAAAGTGTTTTGATGATGGCTTCATTTGAGCGGACAGATGATATTCTATTTAATGCATGCGTAAATGGGAGAGTTGACAAGGTTGAAGGAGTAAGTGAAAGCATAATCATGGGTATACCAATGCAGATAGGCACTGGAATATTTAAAGTTAGACAAAGGTGAGAATGTTATATTTATACATGAGTTTTAAAGTCTGGATCTTTATATTTTTCTTATGTTGCACATGTATGCCCCTGATTTTTCAGTAATTTGGATTTGGAAGTGATAGGGAAGTGTGGAATATAATATGTCCTCATGATATGAATATTTGGGAGGTAATGCTGTGCACTAACCTTCCAGAACTTAATGACTTGTCAAAATATATTTCACCTTATTTTTGGGTCAACTCTGGTTACAACTTCTGCATATCTCCTGGAGAAGTTAATTCTGTACTTGCCCAGTCTCCTGGTTTTACCGTATCAAATGCGCAGTTGGCATGCTGTCAAGCTGACTATTTGTTAAAATTAAATGGATCAACTCCATCTAGTTTTCTTTAGACCATGCGTCCTACAGGTGGTATATGTGATAGCAGGTTGTCTGTTTCCTTCTACTTCTATATATAACAAGAGACATTCATGGATATTCGAGAATTGCATAAAATATCTGCCTTCAGTATTACTCTCAATGCCGTATCAATATTTTCTTTTTGTTGGTTTTGATGCACTAACTGCCTGTTGACGCCGGCTTTCTTAAGTGAACCTCCCAGAAGCTTAACCAATTTTTTTTTCTTTCCATGAGCAGAGTTTCTTCTGATTTGAGGCAGCCCACATATTTGGGACCAAATTCAGACGTGGAACTGCATTACGGGCCACGCCCAAGTCTAACTTGAGCGGAAGAAAAAGTAGTTGTAAATCATCTCATTTCACCAAAGCAAATGCATATGTTGCCTTCATGTATATGAGAATTGACTGAAGCATTGTGATGGTCCCGGAAGACTAGTTTAGAATGTCAAATGAAGATGGGGGGCGTGGTAGCAATCCAATCTTCAGCTTGATTACCAGATCATGCACATGCTCTGCTAATTGAACTGAGAATGTTGAATGAAGATGGGAGACATGGTACATGTCAGATTTCTAGTCATTTGATGTAAACTTGTCAGATTCATTGCAGCTTTAACTTGCCTACAAGATTTGTGCAAAGACAAGTAGTTTTCCCAATTTAACATTATACTCGGTACTGTATACTTTGTATATACTTTTGATAGTTTTGAGCTTCAAAATTGGCATCATGCAACTTTGATAGAGTGAATGTTGAGAAACCTGAAAAATATGTTTCGCAAGTCGTCTCATCATGGTGCTCTCGTTTGCTACTTAAACATACATAACAGCAGCATGTAAGCACTTTGGACGAAATCTCCAGTCCCAATAGTCATTAGCAAAACCAAAATGGAGCTCAAAGAGGAAACCTGAATGTAGGTTGGTTGGTTATGATTTTTCTGGCTCCAACAGTGCTCTTTTCCATTCATTCTTTTATGTCACCAGCTCTCTTTCTAAAAGATGTTCTCTAAAGTAATTTTATGCAAGGATTAATTGTAATTAAAAAAAAACTTATTAGAAAGTGTTGGTAGAGTATGATAAGATATGGCAATAGCGCCACTCCAGAAGGATTGATTAAAGCAGGAGAAGAATATACAAAGACTGATCCAGAAAACTAGAAAGTGTTGGTAGAGTATGATAAGATATGGCAATAGCGCCACTCCAGAAGGATTGATTAAAGGAATGTTGCTTTTGTGAACTTGGTTCAGCTTGGATAATCACAGAGAGTTATTTGCAACTGGGTATTTTCCTGCTCCGATACATGTTTGATAAAAGCTCGTCTCCACCAGACCTCAAATGCCTTCTGAATGTTTGGACAGTCGTCGCCCTTGTTTAGAAATCTATCAAACCAATTGAGCAAGATACCCTGTTGCTGCTGCAAGGGCAGTGTAAGAATGGTTTGGCTTATCCCCTCTTCAACCAGTTTCTTATCAATAGATCTAAAAGAAGCCCTCCTCATCCATCCAAAGTCTTCATAAAGAGCTTCTAGCCACGTAGATAGCAAAGAAAATCTTGTTTCTTTGGGCACAAGCAATTGTCTGCTCCCAATTGCAATGCATAGCTGAGCAGTGATTCTACTGATTTCGTGTCGGTACATGGTTGGGATCTTTGAATGGAGGACGGCGAGCTCCTTCTGATCAGCCCACAATTTCACAAACTCATCACCCATTTTCTTGTCTACCAGAATATCAACAATCCACTGCATGTTATCAGCTTCTCTTGCTATCTCCGCCATCAAAACCCCGCGATCCCTCCTACTGTCATCCATGCCCGTGGCTTCAGATAAGCACAGGACAAGAGAACTCAGACACCGATGGCAAAGATGGTAAAGGGTTTCTTTAGAGACATCAAGCCTATTATTGCTGCCACTGGCTGCATCTTCTCTAAGCAACCGAGAGATGAGAGTCTTCATTTCCCGACGTGCCCTATCGTCTTTTGCTTGAAGAACACCGGTCAGCAGTCTCATAAAGATCTCATCGGCTCTTGCAGAAGTGGATGGTTCAGATGACACTCTGAGGAGAACTTCACCGGCCAAGTCATCATGAAGCTGAAGTTCATTGAGCTGAGATATAACTTTCCCCTCTTCTTCCTCAGACCATGGAACAGCTTTCAAATACTCCAGGCATGAGCCAATCCCCTCATCATACATGATAGCAGCAGATACCTACAGCACAAAGGTAATTTTACAAATATTCAACATCGCAAACTCAATGAACAAAAAACATATTACTCTTCCATATAGTCCAAACATATCCTCAATAACCCAAATTAAGACAGCTGCCCAGCTAAAATCAGACAGCAAAAAATCCCAAAAAAAAAAAAAACAGAACAAAAATACAATCTTTTGCACTGCAAAATGGAAGATGGGACTGTTTGTTTTTAAAAACGTTTTTGGTTTTTTCGTTTGTACTATTTTTATGATATATCAAGTTAATTTTCTTTATTTCTCTAATTTTGGTAAAATTAGTGTTGCTTGTTTTCAAATTTCATGTAGCTTTTACACATTGCTCAAAGACAGAGACTTGTTCAGTAAACTAAACTGACTCTCCAATTAATTGGGGTAGCCTCAGAATTTTTCCTGGTATTCACACTTATACCATTTATCTCAAAAGTGAAAACCCATAACCAAACAAAAGATTTCTGCCGCACCCAAACACTTTCTCAGCAACCAAACACAAGATAAGACAAACCAGAAATAGAAATGCTGATAGCTACAGTAAGAAAAGGCAAAAGTAAAAGCCAAAGCACATACCTTTAGCAAGCCCAAAACCCTAGAGACCTCCTCACCCATCAACCTCCTCTTCAAATCTTCACAATACATCAACACCACAGTTTCCACATACACCTCAACATCGTCGCAGTCCGAAATCTCGACAGAGTGAGAAACCCCGCGATCTTTTCGGAGCTTATCGGCGAAAAACCGGCTTTTCGCGGCCAAAACGCTCTTGTGCACGTCCATGGTGACCCTGAACCCGTCCTTGGCTACCACAGTGAGCCTTACGTCACCGGATACTAGACCTCCCCAATTGGGGTTTCGGAACGGTGCGTTTTGGAGGAGTTTGTGGACTTTTTCGTGGACTTTTCGGTCTGCGAGCTTGGAGTCTCGGTGTTGCTCATCGGACATCATCTCGTAGAGCGTATGGGACTGACTCGGTCGAGTTAAAGACTGAGTCGACCCGGCGAGTTGAGGTGGTTGGGGAGGAGAAGAGAGGGTCTTGGAGGGCGAGGAAGTGGGAGAGTAGAGCTTGGATATGGATCTTGATGGTGAGAATGAGAGCGTTTGATCGGAGATGAAGCCCTGTTTGATCATGGCTGAGACCTCTCGAGATTTCAGTGCGTTCTCGGCGGCCATTGGAGCTCTGGGAGCTCACTGAGAGTATTGAGTGGCTGAGCAAGAAACCAAGTACTGGGATTCAAGTGATGGGTTCTTGGAGGATTGAAGAGAGAGTGAAGTGGGTAAGAAAATCAATCAAGAAGTGAAATTTTCAGAGAGAGAGAGAGAGAGTGAAGAGGAAAATTATGGGGGTGTGGAGAGAGGAGAGAGTGAAGAGGGTAATTAATAAAGGATAGTTTCCTGGGAAGTAGAAGTGAAATATTTTCCGGGAAAGTGGAGAACGTAGGAATCCAAGAAAATTGAGAGAGAGAGAGAGAGAGAGAGAGAGAGAGAGAGAGGTCTGTTAATGGTGTAAATGTTTAATAACGAACCTAAGAAAACAAAAAAAACTGTTTCTTTTGTAAAAGGAAGAAGGTAGCATTATTAGGGAGGGGACTAAAATAGCTGCACACTGGGTACCTTTTTTGTTTTGTTTACTTTGCTGTAATTATGAGTATGGAGAATGAGGAGGAAGGAGGCTATGGACCCATATGTATGATATAAATAATCTTTTATTAGATGGCTCAGTCTCTGCTTATAAGTGCTAAACTTCATTAGAAAAAATATGAAGTTGTCAGAGGACAGAGGCCATGCCGATGCCACCCATTAGTTTATTTGTGCCTCTTCTTTTCTCTAAAATGGATCTTACAAACTTATTTTAGATGGGTTTTAGTTTGTTTTGATTTTTGATCTTGGATGTTTGGTGATAATGGTTTTGGTTTAGCCCAGTAGGGTTGGAGATTCTTTATGTTTGTTTGGTGCAGAGCAGACTGCAGAGAATGCAAATCCAGATTTTAGTAAACAATAATCACAGTTGGTAACAATGATGATAACAATGTGAGATTTTTTTATTTTTTTTTCTTCCTTTTTTTATATATATTTTTTCTGTTTTGGCTGGGGATTGATAAAAAAGAGAGAGTTAGTTGCAGTAGTATACACTGTCGTATGTTTGGTGCCTGATGCTATAAGCCTGCCATTGCAACAAACTACAAGCATCCAATGATTGCCCCCCTAATCTTAAGGGCGTGTCTCGGATGAGAAACAGTCATTTGGGTTCAATCTAACTTAACAAAAGTTTTATATAACTTACTTGCATTATGTATGGCAATGCCATGTTTAGTTATCAGAATATTTTTTTCACATTGTTTTGTTGAGACTGTGCTACGGTAATCGCTGGTTTTTAACTGCTGATGCATTGTGGGGATTTTTATGCATCCAACAGTAAAAAATTGTGCCCGTCAACGATTGATGATAGCATTATTCTTCGTTTATGTAAAGATGATTTACTTCTAAGGTAGTAGGGGATGCAAAGATGACTTGGACGGGAGGGAATGCCATAGAAGAATTAGCAATGAATGTTACAACCAAGCATGATAATAATTCATAAAACAAAATGAAGAGCCACATGGGTGGACCAAACCGAGCAAGGATATTCAAGACAGCACCAAGAAGGCATCATTGTGGTGTGCAGGGGTTGCCCCATTGGCCTTCTTGTGCAAAGTCAATAGTATGTAATAGAATGAGGCTTGAGATTATTATTTTTTGGTCAAAGAATGAGGCTTGAGATAAACCGCCCAATAAATGCAAAGAAATAGGTAAAGATGTACATAAAACTGGAGCTACAACTACCTGTGTGTGAGAAAGAAGCATTAACTAGTAGGGTGACTGTTGGTTGCTTGGAGCTTCCACATGAGCAGCTTGCAATAATTTTGGTATGCATTGCTTCTCACTCACAAATACTTTTGTGGGTTCATTAAAAAAAAAACAATTTTTTAAAGAAAGAAAAATAAAACCCTTCTTCTTCTGTGGGACTTACAACATGACAAAAGACCCACAGGTGCAGATGCATATACAACAATTTGTTGGGAGAGTTTTTGGCCATGTTTTTAACATTCAAATCACAACAGAATGGCATTTTGTGACATTCTTGCTACTCATGATCGATTTTAAGATTTCTATACATATAAAAGTTCCACACGACAGAATTAGAGAAATTAATGTCTCTTTCTATACTTTTGTCGGACTCAACAAACATGACAAAAGACTTTCAAAAGTGTAATGAAAAGGAGATGTGATATTTCAGCTAAATATTTTGGATGCTTTCCTATGAACTTTTCCAAAGCATTACAATTCGTTATGACTTTTCGATTGGTTGTTTTATACAGGTCTAAAACAACCAAGAAAAACCTTGTGAATGTTACCTAACAGTTTCTTTTAGGTTCCCGTCTTTGTCTGACATAGTATTAGAGCTCTATTTACATGACGTCTTTGTTCGAAACCACCCGTCCTTATTGTTCACTTCTCTGTTGATTTGCAAGGTGAATGGTGAGGGGGGCGGTATCTAATCATTTCTCTCCA